AATCTTTCAAAACCTAAAAATGAAAAATTTTTTTAAAAAAAAACTTGAAGAATTAACCAAATCTTTTTATCAAATAAATTCTATTAAGTATCAGTCATATTATATTCATTTTCATTTCATAAATATATTTAATTTAATTTATTTTTATTTATTTATTTTTAAATATATCCAAATTAAAGATATCTGCATAATTATTTTCATAAGTTGCAATTAGTTGCAACTCTAACTGATACTTCAACTGATATTCCAACCGATACTTCAACTGATATTCCAACTGATATTTCAATTGATATTCCATGCCTAGTTGCAACTATTTGCTGCAATGTCACAATTGTGGCGTAATGTTGCATTGTCACAATTATGGCGCAATTATATCATAATGTAATTATATATAAGATTGGAAATAATTATCGATAGTGTTTTAGTTTATAAGTAAATATCAAAAATAGTATTAAGTAAACTTAAAATCACATATTATACAAAAAGTTAAAATATGTGCCATCAATATTGAGAGAACGATTAGCGTTAAAGCTCGAACGGATGGAAAAAATTAAAATGATAATAATTCGCTCAATTTTGATTATATAAGTCTGTCCTTTTAATATAATATGTAATTAATTTTTTCTTTAAGGTTACTTAATTCCGTTTTTAATATTTACTTATAATATAAAAAGTTTTATATGTAATAACTTCAACAATTTTGTATATCCGTCTGTTACTTTGTTAATTGTACAAAATTAATACTGCAATAATAATAGTAAGAAGAATCACGTAATAAACAGAAGATTAGGGTGCGATTTTATATTAAGATATTTTTATGACAGATAGAAAGCCCTTGTTCTTAGCTACAATATGATATGTGTTTCATTCCTGTAATATCGATATCGCGGATATATTCACAAACGTCCGTGAAAATTTTCGGCTATAAATTTTCTGTAATTCTGGCCAGAATTACAAAAAATTATGGAAATAATAAATTAGTATAATTATAACATACAGAATTATAAACAAAATCGTTGATGTTATTACATATAAAACTTTTTATATTATAAGTAAATATTAAAGACGGTACTAAGTAATTTCAAAGACATAAATTAATTATTATTATAGTAAAAGGACAGACCTACAATATATAATTAAAATTGAGCGAATAATTATCGTTTTAAAATTTTTCGTCTGTTCGAGCTTTAACGGCCAATCGTTCTCTCAATTTTGATGGCACATATTTCTTCTTTTTATATAATACGTAATTTATTCTTGTCTTTAAGTTTACTTAATGTCATTTTTAATATTTACTTATAAACTAAAAAGTTTTATATGTAACAACTATAGATGACTATTTCCAATCTTATATATAATTACATTATGATATTGTGGCGATTCAAATTGGTAATCAGGTGAAATGTCACGGGGGATGATAATTTGTGTCACTAGATGAACATTCAGGTAATTGTTATCCCACGTGAGATGACTGTACAAGGATGAAGGATGAAGTACGAAGATAACCATACAAGGATGAAGGATGACTGTACCAGGATGAAGGATGAAATACGAAGATGAGTAGGATGAAGTATAAACAAAAGAGAAAGTATAAATACGCCTGTTGTCAGGTGTAAGTTTGAGAGGGGAAGTGATAAGAATTCATTAATAGTTATTAGTTAATTAATTATTACTTAATATTACAGAATATATTGAAATTTTTAATTATTATTAGATAGAAAAGTAAACTTACTTCAGGGACGGTAAAATAGACATCCTAACACATGATAATATTT